CACCTAACAAGCCTCAAAATAGCCCCACAGTAACATGGTAGCACAATAAGGATCCCTACATGCAAAACGAAGCGTTGAGAACTTTGTCAGTGTCCATACAGTTTAATAAAAAGATATTTTATACACACAGTCAACTTCACGAATACAGGAAGAAGCCATCTTTAAAATATAGTCTCTACCAGTCGATCTAAGAACGCTGATCCAAGTGCGCTGAACTGTGCAGAATCTTATATGGTCCATTGTTTCCAGAAGAAACACAAACACGAACCATTTTCTTCTCTTTAATATGTACATGTTGCCTACTGTTCGCGCTCACATTATCACTTTATTCACATCTCACCAGCGCACTTGGATCGGCGTTCGTAGATCGACTGGTAGAGACTATTTTTCAAAGATGGCTTCTTTTCCTGTATTCGCAAAGTTGACTGTGTGTATAAAATATCTTCTTATTAAACGGTATGGACACTGACAAAGTTCTCAATGCTTCGGTTTGAATGTAGGGGATCCTTATTATGCTACCGTGTTACTGTGGGGCTATTTTGAGCCTTGTTAGTGGTAATAAAAAGCGATTTTAATTTGTCATTACTCTATGCCCTATAGACTAGCGTTATACTAGCATTATAGGCTAAACTGTTTTTATAGATAAAACTATTTACATTCGGCAATCATGAAAAAAAAATCTCAGATAACGGTTGACTAGGTAACAATGTGTAATTAGACCAAAGGTTCATTTTGCGCCGGAGTTGTCCTTTAAGTGAAATTACTGAACTTAAATATACAAGCTTGATAAAAATGATCATTTTAGAAGAAAATTTAAAATGGCATTTAGAGGCTTTTGCATCTGAACTCTTCATATATATATATATATATATATATATATATATATACACACTACAGTCAAATCTGACGGTCTGCACTTCGCCTGGCTGTCGTCTTTGTTCATGTGAGTAATAAAAGCACTGGAAAACTCAGTTTTCATTTCAGCTATTAATACATAAACACTGTTAATCTCCACACAATATCAAACATGTCAAAGCAGAGAAGTGCAAACTATTATAGATTACCTTCTGCTCTCTGCAGTTCTCCTGAATTATGTCAAAGAGAGTGAGGTGATTGTACACAAGATTTCAGATTGAGGTTGCATGAAAGACGTCATCACACATCAGCTTAGCCGTCTAATTGCATTAAAGTGCTGAATACTTCATGTGCAGACATTAATAATCTGTTCATGAGCAAAACTGACTGCTGGCACTCTGATCCCAAGCCAGAAGTGAATGTTGATAATAATGTACAACCGAAGTCAAAACAAAATACTTCCATATGCATCTCCGCTAATTAATTTATCCGACGGTCAAACACGGGATTTCTGCCATTACGAGAGTCGACCAAATACACTCTCATCCTCACACATGTTTTAATGCAGAACTAAACCGTGCAACATTTCACTTCCAGTTTAATTTGTAATATGGCTGTCAATCGATTAAAAATTTAATTGATATGCTAAATAACATTATTGAAAAAAATTAGGGCTGGCAAACGATTAATCATGATTAATCGCATCCAAAATAAAAGTTTGTGTTTACATAATATATGTGGGTGCACTGTGTATAATTATTTTATATATATAAATACACACACATGCTTGTATATTTAAGAAATTATTTCATGTATATACTGTATATAGATTTATATATACCGTAATTTATATTATATATAAATTTATATTATATATTTTATATGTAAATATTTTTTTTTCTTAAATATACATACATGTGTGTGTATTTATATATATAATATAATAAGTAATTATACACAGTGCACCCACATATATTATGTAAACACAAACTTTCATTTTGGATGCGATTAATCGCGATTAATCATTTGACAGCCCTAAAAAAAATATTAAATTTAATCTCAATTAATGACATGCATGTGAAAAATAATATAAAGATAATTTGATTCATTTTTTTTATTTATTTAATTTATAAATTATAAAATAATTTGTCTGATTTTTCTCTCTCTTTTGTTCACCTAGACTGCATTTATTTGATCAAAGATGCAGCAATATTGTGAAATATTATTACAATTTCAAATAACGGTTTTCTATGTGAATATATTGTAAGATGTAATATATTCCTGAATTTTCAGCATCATTACTCCAGTCTTCTGTGCCACATGATCCTTCAGAAATCCTTCTCTATCATTGGGCAGTTCGAGCTGCTATGATTGACAGCTGTCACAGATGATGTGATGTGGGCGTGTCCAGCGATGCAGCAAAGCTGATCATCCGAGTTTAACTTGAAGCGAAACAACAACTCTCGCCAATTCACCGTCTCGCTTGCAAATGTAGACACGATGTAATGAACAGCTACAGGCGAACAAACACAGTTCTGACAAGCACTGACAGACTTTAATTTACACTTGTCACGAGGCCCAGCTGATTGTACATGGAAATGATATGGAAATCCCCTCTGAGGATAACAGCCCTTCGCCAAGTGAAACAAAATACATAAATCGATGCCAAAATTCATTTAGATTTTGATGTAAGATAAGGAATTTAAACTCACTTTCACAATCTGGGACTAGTATAATTGCATCATTCTGGGACTTTTAATCGTATTAGGGCTTGAATTGTATTGATTTGTAGCTACAGGCTTGTAAAAAAGGTACGTGTGTGTGTGTGTAAAATGCTGATCTTTCCTATGCAACAATGGAGCTTAAAGGATTAGTTCACTTCAGAATTAAATTTTCCTGATAATTTACTCGACCCAACGTCATCGAAGATGTTCATGTCTTTCTTTCTTCAGTCGAAAAGAAATTAAGGTTTTTGAGGAAAACAATGGGTCGAAGGTCCAGATGTGAGTTTCAGTGCAGCTTCAAAGTCTCGACACGATCCAGCCGAAGGAATAAGAGTCTGATCTAGACAAATGATCGGCCATTTATAATTTTGTTTTTTAAATATATTAACATTTGGACCTTCGACATGTTGGACCCCATTGAAGTCATTACTGTTTTCCTCAAAAAATTTCTTTTCGACTGAAGAAAGAACGACATGAATAATTTGAAAGACGTGGGGGAGAGTAAATTCATAATTAATAGAGAAATTTTAATTCTGAAGTGAACTACTCCTTTATGAATCGTGGCTTTGTGGTTAGTGCTCATTAATCCGAATACATAGTAGCCCTCAAACCGTATTCACTTTATAGCCCTTAATCCTGTAATTGTGGACAAATGTGGGCACAGAGGACTAAGGTGTGATCCTAATTTTTATTTATTATAAATGTTATATCACTGTCTTCGATAAAGTTTTGTCTATCCATTTATGGTGTTTTTTTTCTATTTTGGGGGTATTTTTTAATTTATTTACTTTAAAAAGTACCATATTTTCTACGTATATTATGCTTATTTTTTTAACTACATTAAAATATCATTCCAATAAGTTCTTAGAGCTAAAACCTAAAAATGAAGTGACTTTGCCGTCACCTGGTGTCTTATTTTGGCTTATTTTAGAGTGCTCTAAATTACAGTTTTTCCCATTCATTTCTATGGGTGCCCATTTTTTTTTTACCCAAATACAAGATTAAGGAGTTTATTTCACCCACTTAACATTGTAGAATTGAGTCAAAAAAAAATGTGTGTGTGTTCAGGAGGCAAACTTTGGAAAAGTAGCCAAGTCTTGTACCGCTCAGATCAAAGGAAGTATTTTTTAAAAATAAATTTTTATTTTTAGACAAAATAAAATAAATAAATTTTAATTTTTAGACAAAACTATTTTGCCCACATTTGTCCAGAATACAGTTTTAGGGTTAAAACTGTGTTTTCATTTCAAAACGCTCTCCATCCACACTAGTTTTAGCATCAAAAGTTTCTCACCCACACCGAAACATGTGAAGAGCGAGAGACTGGTGGATCTGGACTTACTGGTGACAGCTGTGCCACTCCCAGGTGTGGCGAGGTCTGTTGGGCATGAAGTCAGCCGTCCCTTGGTTCTTCACTCGCTGGGGGAAGCGCAGAAGAACCCTGACACTATAGTCTGTGGCGTCAGCACTGTAAGCCGAGCTGAGGAGGGGAACACATTCATGAGCTTCTGCAGCACTGAGTAATGAAACGTTGTATATATGAGAGCAGGGTGGAATTTATATGATGTGACACCACCCAAATTTCTGCATGAAGAACTCCACAAATGTGATCTCACATCCTTCCCGTTGGTTATTACATGATGGTGTGGTGTAAACAGTTGTAGAGGGGTTTGGGAGGGGTTATTGTGTAAACACAGCCTGCCCAGCTTTGAATGGCCATTTCATAAACTGAAGTATAAAGAGTCGAGAGTTGAGCGTCCTCACCTTGCCAAACACTTCTCCTCCGCCGCACAGCGCAACGAGTACATATGGGCTCTCTGAACGTATGTGGAGGCTTGGACATAGTTAGGGTCAGGAACCAGGTCAGGCAAACCTAAAAACAGGACATATCATAAGAGAAGAAACACATTCTGATATTACACAGAAGGAAACTATATGTCTAGCCCATTCTCATCCCGTGGCATCATATAGGTGACGCTTTTGCCAATGCGTAGACACCCAACACACATGGCACCCTTTAGCGTCAAAATGAGACGCAGATATATATGGGGGAGAAGGCGCCTCCTAGTGGTCTAACCCTAACACTACACCAGACCTAAATCTTCCCATAACCGAAGCATGTTATATTGACGCTAAAGGGTGCCATGTGTGCTGGATGTCTACGCATTGGCAAAAGCGTCAGTATATGACGCCTTGGGATGAGAATGCGTTGATATGTATATATGACTGGCTTAAGCTGGTTTAGGCAGGTCTCCAGACCTGGTCAAGCTTGTTTCCAGCTAGTCTTTAGCATGAAATGTACCCAAACCCCTCTAAAAGCTTTAAGCAGACAAGTCTAACCACATGACAAGTGCCTTTTGAAAAACATGTATTTAATGCTAAGTATACTACAACTACATGTACATATTTATGCACTTAATAATACCCTGCATTTGTATTGTTGCTATACTAAATTGGTATACTTAAAGGTTTCTAAATTGGAACAAATATTTTGTTCTTAATGCACGTTAGTTATGTGGAGATATTGCTGAGGTCTAACTAAAGACATTCTTAATTATATTTAATTGTGGAACTAAGTATACTTAAGGTGCACGTTTAATATTATACAGATGTCATACTATCCTTACTAATAGAGATATCAAAACACATTTTAGGCTTAATATTAAGAAATGTGCATTGTGCAATAAAGACCTTAATAATAACATTCATATCAGCCTCAAGTGATTTGTCAGTGTATGTGTTAATGGATTTTTAGTATACTTAAGTTAGTATGAAATGTATTTTATATACATTTTGGTATATTTTGTTTCACTACGGTGGCCACCTAAAAAGTATTAAAAACTAGTTTAAAACCACCATCCAACCAGAGGTGTGTTTCCCAAAAGAACGACAGAACATAGTTGGCTTCGGGAAACACACCCCAGTAAAAGTGCTCAAAACCACTCTCAAACCACCAAACTGACTATTCTGACCACATGAAGTGTCCCAAAACCACTATAAAACCACCAACCCAACAAGTATGAAAAGCATCAAAACCACTCTAAAACCACAGTACAGACAATTCTGGTCAGTGTGACCACCTGACATGTGTCCAAACCCCTTTACAACAAGCGAACGGACCTGCTTAGCCAACCGAAAAGAGCAGGAACTCCTTCTAAAACCAGCTTTGGAGATCATCTTTGAGTAACAAACCAGCAGTCCCCCCCCCCAACCCCCCCCCCCCCCCCCCCCCAAGCAATGTCAGGATTCATAACACACGCTCCTGGGGACAAATGTGCTGCTTTAATGTTCTGAGCTGTTCTGATGTTACATACCTTTAAATGTAAAAGAAAGTAAAATGGCAGTATCCAAATAAGCATACCTTTGAAAAATACACAAGAGATGAAGAGGTTTTTGATGAGGTAATGGTGAAGCCTCACGGTATAATGCATCAAACACTGTTTCTCATCTGGTTTCAAGGTCACGCACAAATAAGAAAAAAAAAAAAAGAACAAAGTGTTGCGCGTAGAGGAAGAGAGAGATAGAGTACAAAAGATGAGGGAGCGGTGACAGCCAAACGAAAATGAGATCACTTCCCTGCTGGATCCAAATTGGGCCTGTGACCAAATCTGTTTAAAAAAAAACCCAGAAAAATTGAAAAACAGAGCTAGCTGTGACAGCTAATGTTCTTAAGACTCTCAGCCAAGCGGTACAGGCCCAGTACAGAAACTACTTATCACCTTTATTTACACTTAAAACACAAGTTGGCTGTGTTCACTTCATGTCGAAAGACTCTTATGAATATATTAACAGTGCAGTCCTTACGTGGACATTAACATTTCTTAACAACATATCTGCTTTCCTGCTTTTTGCATGTCATGGATTTCAGAGAAAAGAACCCAGTTGAGAAGAGCAATCAGGCTCCTTCACCAACAAGACTTAGATGTGCAATTTTTCCCAGTGGTCCATCAGATTTCTTCAAAGAAATGTTGAATGCAGATCAAAATCTCACTTAAAAGCAACTTTCACTCTATAAAACATGACGGCCTTGGTCAGTCTCCTTATTTCAGGGATATTAGCGCCGCCCTTCTACTCCAGGGAATGCTTTGCCATCTCCATCTCTGTGTACACATCCGATTTGCCAGCTTGGTCTTAGACAGACTTAACGGCCTCAGGAAACGTTCTTGGTCAGCTCTTGTAAACAGTGTAAAGTGAGTGTGAAAGACTGGTTCACCAGCAAAAGGATTTTACACACAGTCTGCACTTTTCGCCACTGGACGCCTGCACTGCATCAACATTCATTATAAACAGCAAGCTACAATGAACACACAGCTCTGGTTTTTACACAAAAAGGCGAAACCAATACAAAATCTTCCTTCATAAATGGTAAATTGACTGCATTTGTATAGCGCTTTCATAGACCCAATAGCCGCGTTTCCACTGCCGGGCCAGGGCCGGGCCGTGCTAGTGCGTGCCAGGGCCAGTCGCGTTTCCACTGTCACTTCCGGGGCTTGATCGGGGCTTCCTCAGGGCCAACGGCCAGGATTTCTGGCCCGTCGAATACCTTGGGCCAGAGGGGGCCAGCTCGGGCTAGAGGCGTGTTCAAGGTAAAAGGCGGAGTTTATCGGTGTTAAGGAACGTTATGATCTGAAGCAAGATGCACAGGGGTGTCCATGTTTAACCGATTAACCGTTTAAAATTGCATAACATTTTAATTTGAACTGTAGGCCTATTATGCCAAATGCTGCGCAACAAAGGATATAGCTACATATCGACGAATTTTCAGATATTTGTTTGATTTTTTTGCCCCTTAAACATTTAAAATATTTGACAAATTAATATGAAAAAAAATATATATTTTACTGGTTTTCTGAGGCCAAATTAGAACCTGGAAATGATATTTTCCCCGCAGTGCTGAATGAGAAGAGCCGTAACCACAGCCTACAGAAAGGGGATTTATGGGTGATTTATAGGCTATAATAAATGTGTCTGATAATAAAATAATATAAAATAACGAGGCATTAATTGTTTATTAATAAACTATTGTTTTCTAAATGATTTTCGGCTAAAAACATATCTCCATCTCCGGATGCACATTTAGAGAGAAATTAAGCTATAAACATAGAAGATATTGGCTTTCGATTCGAATTTGTTCGTTTTAAATTGGACATTTAAAGCTTTAATCTACAAAGGATATAACCCCTGTAGACTAAAGCTTTAAATGTCCAATTTAAAACGAACAAATTCGAATGCGGTGGCTGTTTCAGGTCTCGCGCTTCAGTTCACGGAGATCATGAAGCGCGCCTTGATTAATTGTTAAAGCACAACGTTTTCTTGTTATAAATAAATGTATTTGCGAATAATGTATTATTATTTTCTGTATGACCAGAAATTAAAGAGTATTTTAAGTTGTTTCCACTGAAAGAAATGCAATGAAACTGTTCACATGGGCGTCTCGCAGCCATCAGTGCGTGCTCCACACACACTGGATATGCGCTGATATTTGTCAAAAATATTGTGTTTATTTGTGCTCTGTTCCTTTTTTGGATAAAGACGTCTTCTACATATGCAGCCTAATAAAATGTTACAATAATGATGATGATGGTTATTATTATTATTATTATTTGCAGACACGGAGTTTTTGTGAAATGGACGTTTTGCTTATTTTTAATTGGCAATTTCAGTTTGAAGGGTGATGGAAATATGGGCTTTAACTGCTCCGTACTTGCTGCGTTTTATTTCTATAAATTAATTTCGTTTCAAATGGGGTCCAATCAGTTATTAAAGGTGTTAAAAATTTACTCTGTATCTCGAGGTTGCGGCGCGCACACTATGCACCGAGTATAGTATATATATATATATAACCGATGGGCCTCGGTTAACGATTAATGAATAACTTGAAAACGTGCCCGCAGCCCTACTTGTTATATCGCGCAAAAAATCGCTGCTTGAAATGGAGAATCGCCTGTACTGGTCTCGGGACACTATTGCAGCCACTACGGCAGTTGAGTTAATATACATGCTATCTTCCTAATTTAAAAAATAAATTTTAATTCATAATACCCGCTGAAATGGGTTGGGTTTTGTGACGTTTGATCCTGAAAGGCGTGTTAGGGGTGGGGTCTGGGGCAGAGCTGTGGGGCTACTGGCCCGGCAGTGGAAACGCAAGCCCGGTGCTTGAGGCCCGAGGCCACTAGCTCGGCCCGGCTCGCTGTTAGCTCTGGCCCAGCCCTAGCCCGGCAGTGGAAACGCGGCTAATGGCCACCAAAGCGCTTTACATATTGCCTCACATTCACCCACACATTCATACACCGACGGCGGTGTCAGCCATGCAAGGTCGGGAGCAGCTCGGGTTAGCTGTCTTGCTCATGGACACCTGGAACCGAGGATTGAACCACCAACCTTTCAGTTCGTAGACAATCTACATGAACCACTGAGCCACTGCCGCCCTTCATATTTAACCCCCCTCCAAATTAGAGACATAAAGGGTCTATATGTTTCAGGAAGACTAGTCTTGTAAGTACAATTATTGAATGACCCCTAGTCAGATACAGGCCAGATCTAAATATCTAAAAGAGGTTTTATGCTGCAACCATGCAAATGTGTCCCAACTGATGTTATTTCGATTTTCCAAATTCCCAGATAGTGTATTTTTCTACAGGCTGGAGCTCGGACTGATTTCACCTTATTTGTTTGCGATTGCATCATCCAAGTAATGATTTAGTTTACGCCCATTTCCCTTATGACCAGATTCTGTAAACTGAGGTGATCAGTCGTGCGTGAAGTGACTCAAGCGAGAGACAAAGACCATTTCACATAACAAAATGAGCCTGCACACTTGGCAGTGGCCAGCAATGTCCCAGGGGCCTTACCCACCTCCACATACACTTATGTATGCGCACACACACTTTTATTTAGGGGCTAGCAAAACATTTTCTGTTTGCTGAGGCAATGGACCCCATGTGTGCTGGGTACTTTCCATCCCCCCACTCCAAAAACATATATACTAACTACAGCCCTCACACTCACCCCACAACAACCAAGCCACTTTACCCCTTACCCCACCCTCTAAAGCAAATACTGGGATCATTCACCCTTAGCCCTCGCAGTGCAGTCATCACCACAACCAGAACCAAATCTTCAAACAATGAGCACTCTTTGTGCAGAATGTGTATCCATAGGCACTACACACACACACCAACTACCACATACTCATACACCCACACACATCCCACAACACCTGGTTCCAATAACCCAGGCTCTGAGACAAAGATGAACTTGGAACATCAATGGCAATGGGGGGGGGGGGATGGAAATGAATGATGCTGGGGTGATGTTAGGATGGAGTAACTTTCACAGACTCCTCATGAGGAAACAAACAAAACAAACTGCCTATAAGTAATGCCCATTGCCAGCTGCAAACTACAAGCTTTCCAATCAACTTTGTGCAGTTTGAGTCCCTTGGGTTACACGTTTGTCGAATATGCAAGGGGATTGCGGCTGCCAGGAAACACAAAGAGATGGCAGTAGAACTACATTTTTTAGATGTCTTTCTGTTTCTCTCACTTCCTTTCCTTCAGAGGGAGAGAGAGAGAGCAAATCTGAAACGAGCTCTTCACGTGCATCCATTTCCCCAAATCTCCCACCGTGCAAGAGCTTAAGTACCAACTGTAGTTCCTCTGTGATTAACTTTACGTAGCACAGCAGCCTAGTAAATGAGCTGCAGCCTTGTTTGAGAAGTGAAACATTACGTACAATGGCATTTGCTGCAATAGATGCAAAAGCAACCTTTCTGGAGAGCTGGTAAACTATTGAGTAACATTGGATGGAGATGGAACTGGATACATATTCTGAACGTTCTGACTTCTGAATCATAATCATATACTGTTCGTTCGTTGGCCGGAGGAGAACTTGCCCCCCGACTGAGTCTGATTTCTCCCAAGGTTTGGTTCCTTACCACTGTCACCTTTGGCTTTTGGCTTGCTTAGTTGGGAACACTTAATATTCAACAATATTGATCTTCCAGAACTGAAGCTAGACGATGATATCACTGTTTTCTCCAGACCGACTGTTATAGATAAACTAACTAAATGAATGACTTAACTTACTTAAGCTGGACTATGACCCTATTTTCTTCTAGATCTGCTGTACAGCCCAAACAAACTTTGTTTGGACCGTAACGCTGCTTTGAAACAACCAGTGCTATATAAATAAAGTTGACTTGACAGTTTGGGACGTGGAAAGAGACTGGACATTCTGTACGGTGAAAGACATGGAAGTACATCATACCTCTTTGCTGAGGGCGATAAACACTCCCTGCATTCATGTTGGGGTTCTCTGCATTGTTGGAGACGAGAGGGTTGCGAGGAGCTGGTTGTATAAACGGAGGCTGTGGCCTTCCAAAGGGTGGAAATTGTTCATATTGGGGGCTTTGCACAGCAGGCTGGAATGATGAGCCGGTGTTGCTCGAAGCACCATTAGAGGCAGGTACTGCAGGATTACCGCTGTCTCGAGAGTCCTCGTTGAACAGGCTATGCGTGTATCTGTGATCCAAGCCGTCGGAGATTTGTGGCTGCGCAGGTTGGGCAGGAGCATGGTAGGTTTGACCGTAAGGGGAATAGTAACGATACCTCTCGTCGGTTGAGTAACCACCCCCTCCGTATCCACCACTAGTGCCCGAAGAGTATCCCGTTCCACGGAAGGGAGGTTCGTATGATCTGTCCTGAACAGAGTCGTGAGGATACGGTGGCTGTTGAGGGAACGGATACTGTGGATAAAAAGAAGAGGATGAGCCTGAGGATGGTCTAAAACGAGAGCCGGTAGAGAGGCGACTGGTTTCACCTGTCCCAGTTGCGCCCTGACGCCAGTTGTCGGGCACTTGGCCGAATCCAAACGGGTGTCTGGCTTGACCTCTCACAGTCTCCGAGGTTGCCCTTGAAGGTGCTTGTCTCCGTACATTCCCACCCTGTGATCTACGGTTGGGGGCGTCCGCTAGCAGCACTCGATGGTTCCTGTCACGCTCCTGAGCCGGGACGTATTCGGCCCCGCTGTTGAGAAGACTGTACACACGTCCATTGTTCTCCCATCGAATCATCTGTCTCCAGGGGTTTGAGTCCTCTGTCTGAGGCTGAGATTGAGACTGTCCCCCTACGGTTCCAAGCAACACAACGACCCACCATGTCATGAAAACAACAGGCAGCATGTTGACAAGACTTGCATGGAAGACCTTCAGGAAAGAGTGGACGATGAAACTCCGAATTGATCCAGCAGCAGGTTAAAGATGGCAAGGCATAGAGGACTTATCGTGCCCATGAGCAAATCAGACTACATGCAGGGAATGAACTTCGTCCTTGGTTCAGTATTTGGTGCAGGCATAGCTGTGAGGAAGGCAGATGATTTCTGATGCCCCAGGGAAGGGTGAAGAATGAGAAACCTCCCTCTTCCGTACTGTCCGGATGTTGAGTTGTTGTCAGTGGACTGAGCATTGCTCTCAGGCTCTCACTGGAGACGACTGCCTGTTGCTCTCCTCTGCACTTCACTATTTGCCTCTCTGAATGCTTACAATAGTCTGTGAAAAAAGAAAAAACGCTCTGATCTCCCCCTCCCTCTCTCCTCAATCTAACGTGTCTTTTTTCTTTTCTTGAAGCCAGATCCCACATGGCCCTAGTGCTCGAGCTGTTTCCTAAACTACAGCAAAGCCAGGTCTTTGCACAGGCTTCCAGAGTCAACATCACCATCTGTGAAGGCACTTGAGTATCTAGTGAGCCTGTGTTGACTTGCTTTGATCCCTCTGAACAAGCGGGGATGTCTGGTGCGTGGCCTAGGTTCACCCACCCGGGTGCGAGAGAGCTCTGCCTTTGTCTCATGTTTTTCCAAACACAATTTTTTAACACTCATCATCATCACAACATATGAGAGGACATTAATTCCAGCAGGATGTTTAGAAATCCAAGTTATGTACTTGAGAGGAGGCCAAAAAAAAGTCAGCACAATTTGGAACAAGCAGTTTCACGTAAAAGAAAAATCCCTTCCAGTAAACGAAGATGGATGATAGCGGGCAAATATGCAAAACATAATTCTACAAGCTTGATTTGAATATGCAGAGGGAGCCTAGACTCATTAAACATGGTTTTTGTTTCTTTACAGATATTATATAAACTATATAGATTGAAAACCAATCCCAAGTGATATACAGTATTATTTCAATCTAGCCCTGCTTTTTAACATTTGTAGAAGAATCTGAATACACAAACCACATTTATATTTCTTATCTACACTATCATGGCCATCACTGTTTTAATATTCCAGATACGTTCCTCACCAAATGCTACACTGCCATTTTTGTAATATTCTAATGGAGCGGCAACAATCAAACACATTCTCCTAAACATTCTGGCAAGACTGATATGTAAATGCTGGTAAATTTACAAAGATTTGCCAAGTAAAAACCTAAACATATTCATCAGTAGCTTTAATTAGAAATCGTTAAGTTAAAAACATATTACTGAGGTGGATAAATGACAAGACTCCTACTATATCGGGTTGGCACAAGATTTTAATGGAACTTATTCCGTTGGGAATATTTAACTTGTGTAGTTAATGGTCAGCCAGACCAGTTTTATAATATCTGGAAACCCGATATAAATAATCTCGGGGTTGAGTTGTCAACTATTCTGCAGAAAGGTTTCCCCACACAAATGCCTTTTGAGTGAGTACTTATTGTGTCTGAGATTGTTTGTACCTTTATTTAATTTTTTTAACTTTAAAGTGGCCTATGTAATAAAGTGGCTTTTTTTCTTCTTTTTTTCATGGTTGTAATCCGTGTTGTGTTTTGTTTAATTTGGAAAATGTTCAATAAATGTTCAAAAAAAAGAAATCGTTAAGTTAATTTACTTGGAATATGGAATTAAGTACATTTTACAGAAAATAAGTAATTTTAACTTGGCTGGTAAACGGTTGATTAATATCGATTTATTTGAAATTTCCTTTGCATTACATTTCACTAAAACAATAATATTGAATTTTATTAGTCATTTATAGTATGTATAATACATCATGTCAGATGTTAAGCATCATGTGAATGCAAAGACCTCAATACTTGGTTGACAATACACAATAACGGTAACATTTGATGGGTCGTTTTTGTGTCATTTTGAGCAAAAAATTTACTTGAAATGTCACAAAATGGCAAGTTACTTATACTGACAACAAAAATCAATGATAAAACAGGGTAAGTAATGCTGGAAAGCAATGAAAAATGAACCTTATTAATTATTCAAGGTCCAGTGCATGATGGGAACCCCAGTATCAGAAAAGTTGAGTAATTTTTACTTAATTTTATTGAGTTGGTATTTACACTTTCATTTCTACTCGCTTGTACTGATATTGAATTTACTTCGTTTTTTTTTTTCGTTTTTTTTTTTTAATTCTTGCCTGAACTAACTTTTTCATGTAAATTACATAGTTTTTTTTTCAGTATTATTTACTTCACCAAAAAATTGTTTTTACAGTATAAACATTCTGATTCATATAATGACTGATTCGTATATAGTGACTGATTCGTAGATTGTTTGTCAAACTACAAGCAATCAAAATTTATAAGAAAATGTGCTAAACCTTTGCTTCGGCATGCATGTCCAACTCTCAAAAGCCTCACAAATCACTAGCTGTGATCTCATCTCCATCTTTGACATCTAAGTGTCTCGCATTCGACGCAAAGGTCTGAAAATCCTCGGAGACTGCCTCTTAGTTATCACCCCTCCCCACAGGGAAGAGCCTGAAGGTGATTACAATGAAAAGCGCTCATTTCCACAACCATGCTTACTGTTGAACTACTGAATTCCCCTCCAATTACACATCAGGACATTGTGTTGATTGCTAAAGCACCATAATATTTCACCGGAACAGTCATTTACTTTATTTATTCGGTGATCTGTCCAGTGAGCCCATTGTCTTTTAGGCCAGAATGTGTCCTCATTATGTGTGATTTATTAGTGATATTCAGCCAAATTTTGTCTTCATTTTCTCACCCTCATGCTGTTGCAAACCTGCTGAACAAAAAGGGGATATTTTCCGTAACACTGGCTCACACCCTTAAACGCATCAAAAAAAAAAAAAAAAAATAGCCAATTTCACTTTTAATATGAAATATGATGTGGAATATATAGTCCTTAAGACTTGTGTGCTTTACTGTATTCTACGTTTTCTGACATCATATGTTAGTTTTGTGTGAGAAACAGAGAATTTTAAAAAAAAGCAGTAGTTCACTTTTGAAAAAACTTTTGCTGATAATTTACTCACCCCCATGTCATCCAAGATGTCCATGTCTTTCTTTCTTCAGTCGAAAAGAAATTAAGGTTTTTGATGAAAACATTCCAGGATTTTTCTCCATATAATGGACTTCAATGGGGTCCAAACGGTTCAAGATCCAAAAGAGAGTTTCAGTGCAAACTGCAAACTGTTCAAAGGGCTTTAAACGATTCCAGACGATGAATAAGGGTTTTATCAAGCGAAACGATCGCTCATTTAATAAATAAATAACAAAGTTTAAGTTTTATAAGCTCAAATGCTCGCCTTGCTCTGTTCTGTGATGCTCGTTCGTGACTCTCCTGTTCATCAAAATGAACAAATCTTTGTCTGAGTCAATTCGTTCGTTGAATGAACCAAATGATACGGAAAAAGATTTGTCGTCTGGAATCGTTTAAAGCCCTTTGAACAGTTTGCACTGAAACTCTCATTTTGACCTTGAACCGTTTGGTTCCCATTGAAGTCCATTATATGGAGAAAATCCTGGAATGTTTTCATCAAAAACCTTAATTTCTTTTCGACTGAAGAAAGAAAGACATGGACATCTTGGATGACATGGGGGTGAGTAAATTATCAGCAAACATTTTTTTTTTTTTTTTTTGAAAAGTGAACTACTCCTTTAAGGTGACACTCATTTTACTTTTGTAAACGCTTTTGGCCTGTTCGCATCTGCAAATACAAACGACAGGACTGTTGAAAGGAACATGAAGTCGCTTGTGTAGCCGATTCTGAGGATTCTGATTGGTTTTAACAGAGTTATGATGGCGCTCGAAGGCGTATGTGTTGATGTGAATTACAACGATGTTGTGTTGAGGGGGAGAAATATTCGTTTCTCTAAATACCCGGCTATGTGTAAATGTGGCCTCAGTTTTCACAAATCTCAAGAGAAATATGACTAATAAAGGTTATTTATTGGCAAGTTTCCAACATCAATTTTTAGGGAGGCTCAGCATCTCAGGCCTCTGCTGTTGTCAAGCCAGAAAAAAAAGATCCGAATGTGGAAGAGTCATATATCTTAGATTAGATTATACTTGACATGTGCCATACACACCAAAAGTCTATTGTGTTATTGTGTGCTACACTTTTACAGCAGATGATTTAAAAAGCCATGTCCTCTGTAACTATTCTCCAAATATGGGGAGGCAGAGGATTAGATTACGGCACGACATCGGAATGAATTTTGGGACAGTGAGTTCAAATTGTTCCCGATATCAGATTTCGCCGTCCGTTGTTATCAAAATCAACAGTTGCCAAGCTGTTTGCATTGGCCCCGCGCGGAGCGGGTAACGTCCAGAATGTACCAGAGATCAAGGCATGACAACATTCCTCACAGGATTATGTTTAAACTAACGAGCAAGCGCTTTGAGCCGGCTCGCGGAAACTGAACCCACCAAAACACGTAGACGGATAACTGACCGCTTTAACGGCACATGCATGGCAACGTGCTTCAAAGTGAAGAGTTATATTGATGCTCTCGGGATGAAAGAAGGAGAGGAAGGCGAAGGAGATTAAACTAGCCGCACTAATCCATCTTTATGGATGTGGAGGACGTTTATTGTTAACTCTTTTTGAAACCTTTATTATTAAAGGTGTATTTCGCAGCCATGAGCACTGTAAAACAAAAAGAAGATTGGCAACACTTTATTTTAGTGTCCTAATAACAGTAAATTATGCACTACATGCAACTAATCTCTAACCTTATAAGTACATGTAGTTGATTATCATTACTCAGTACCTGCATTAAACAATGATACTGTACCTTAATAAAGTGTAACCTAAAGATTTTTCAAAGTTGCAACCTCTTTTTTTTGTGATTATTGGACTGTTTTTGTCACGGATGGTTGTAGGAAGGCAGATGAAGATGAAGAATATAGTTTAATGAGGATAATACAATTAAAAATGTCAAAATAAGAGGAAGGGAAACACACACTAAATGCAACATATAGACCAACCAGAGAATGAACACGAGGGATCAACTTATAAAGCAAACACAAATGACATAATTAAAAGGACACAGCTGAAACCAATGAACACAAATGTTATAACACACATTGAGTATTGTTGTGTAATTTATAAATTAAAACATAAAAGTCATTTAACATAAAAAACTTAAAATTTAAAAATCATATGCACGTAAAAACTCATTTTAGTGTGTAAATTACACGACAATACATATGCGTGCTATAAAGACGCATTTAGTGAGATCATGTTGGATTATTACACTAAC